TTTTTTTTTCTTAACCAGTTTAATTATATGAACAAACTCAAGGGTGTAGAATTTAGTAGGAATGCTATGACATGTCTCTACCAATATCCAGCCACTACTAAATTGTCCCTAGCAATAATTTTGATTAAGAGTAAGAACATATTAGAGCGAACATACGAGCACAGTTCAGCTGAATGATAACGTTTATGTTGTTCTGCTGTTTTGTGTTCATCTGCTTCTCCCATTTGCTCTTTTTACATTGACTATCACTCTATATAGACTAATACAATTCTAATAATTATATTGATACACTTATATTTATATAGTAATTATGTAAAAATAAAGAATACTATAATTCACCAGTATGAGATGACTGGATGCTCTCAACTGATTTCCCATTGAACTGCAGCTCAAACTATTGCAAATATAGTGAATTAAGCTACAAACTCATAATCATAATGCACAATGTTTCCATCTAACATGTATTTTGAGCTGCAGCTCATCTTATTAATGGAGTGTTTTCACTAGTTAGCAGTAAACCGGTTACCTCACCTGAATATGCTCGAAGATTTGTGTTGGATGTTATCTTTGGAATGGGAATATGGATATTTTATTTGTAAACATTATACTTTTTTGTCATAAAACTAGCGAGCTCAGCCAGTAGTAGTACTGACAGAGTTGTGCAAACATGACTGAAGACACAAAAGGAGGAAAAGACAAACCAATTCAATTGAGCGAGTCATTTTACGCTGGAACCATTTCGATTTATTGTTAATGATAAATGAAGCGTTCATGACTGATGCAGTACCTGCTCCCAGCCGATCTCTGCCAGTTCTGTGTTATTCTGTACGACGGCCCAGAGGAACAGATCCCGTCCTGGGTCCCAAACCGTGTCTGGGGTCCAGTCTTCATCCGAACACGGCAGATCCACCAGACCTTTGGACAGCACCTGAACAATGAAGAAATCCCACAGACTCTTCTTATAATAACTCTCAAACTAGAATGAAAGGGGAATGATTCTCACAAAGCCTGTCAAAAACATGTCCAGGTCAAAAATAAGTAAATTAAATTATATTTTGTATAAAGAAAAGATGCCTTCTTTAGGATCTCTGAGATTTTTTTGCATTTTGACATTATTTTCATGGCAATTAATAACCCACTTTCTTATCATTATCAATTCAATCATTATTTTGGTCTTGTTTAAAAAAATTATATACTTAAAATTAAATTTACACGAGAAACCACTGATTAAAACTAAAACTATTAAAAACAAAATAGAAATATTTAAGCTAAAGCTGAAATAAAAGAAAATATAAAAAAACTTGAAACACTGTTCAAATCTGAAATGCTGATTTGGCAACAAACTGAAGTTGAAGTATTAAAATCGCTAAAACAAAACCTGAAATAAAAATAAAGCTAAATAGGAATTTAAAAAAAACTTAAACTAAAAAAATGAACGAAATTTAAAATGAAAACTAACATAGAAAAATAGAAAATAAATAGTATAATACTACATAAATGCATAAATGTAAATTAATAACCCACTTTCTTATTATCAGTTCGATTTTGTTTTACAGTAAAAATAACACCCTTAAAATGTTAAGACTCACCCTCGGCAGTGTTTTAATGTTAACCTCAACTCAAACTATTACACATGAAGTTGAAATAAAAGAAAATATAAATATTAGCTGACAAACTTGAAATGTTTGTCTTGAAATTTCAAATTTGAAATGTTGCCTTGGCAACTAAATGAACTTAAATAAGTTAAAGCTGAAGTGCTAAAATTACTAAAAACTAAAATTTTAATAAAAAATAAAGCTAAACAGAAATATAAAAATAAATAAAAAATGGGGGGGAAAACTCATACTAACTTACTAACACTTGGATTAATAAAACAACTAAAATTACAATTGAAAATGGAAATAATGACACTTTTATCAACTCTTTCCCCGCCAGCATTAAAAAAAAAAGTTACCAGCCACCGCCAGCGATTTTGATGATTTTCTCTAAAATTTGATGGCCTCCAGTATATTTTTCTGTATGAATATTTGAATACGCAATACACCACAATAAAGATCAGAGCCTCTACTTTTAAACAAAAAACATTGCATTGGCTCGTTTAGTTTACACTCGAAGTAGATTGGTCCCTCTAAGCGAGATCCCAATTTCGTCAGTCCTCCGACGTGACGTCGAGAGTGACCGACTGAAAGGGAACCTTTTTGTCTAAATGGTTCCATAAAGAACCTTCAACATCTGAAGAACCTTATCTGAAGATTATAAAAAGGTAAGAGAGAGATGGTTCTTTAAAGAACCTTTGACTGAATGGTTCTTTGTGGAACCAAAAATGGTTCTTCTATGGCATCGCTTGAAGAACCTTTTGAAGTACCTTTATTTTTAAGAGTGAAGGTTTCATAAAAAATGCAAAATTTTTATCAAAAACTACATCTGGATAATATTCAGTACGATTATCAAAGCATAAATCCAGTAAATCGCTTCCATCAACACCTCCAAAGCTTGCACAGATATATACCACTTCCTGGATTAACATTTTACTCTGTAACATTATGCAATGCTGTTTATTGCTGATGATCGCTTTCTTTTTCATATGCATCTGTTTATATTAGTGTTGGGTCATTCTTGAACGATTCGTTAATTTTGAACGAATCTTTAATGTGATTCGGGAAGAACGAGTCGTCTCGGGGAGTGATTCGTTCAGTCGTGCATACGTAACATCCTATAGCTTCTGTACTGGAATTAGTCAAGTAGTTCACCTGGTTCGAGTCTTCGGGTTTGAGTCGTTCGTTCATCATGTGACAGCCCCATAAGCTTAACCTATGCAGTCTGAGCCGGAAAGAGACTTAATAATAAAAACCAACTCTTTAGGGGGAAGTCGTGGCCTAATGGTTAGAGAGTCGGACTCGTAACCCAAAGGTTGTGGGTTCGAGTCTCATACCGGCAGGGATTGTAGGTGGGGGGAGTGAATGTACAGCGCTCTCTCCCACCTTCAATACCACGACTGAGGTGCCCTTGAGCAAGGCACCTAACCCCCAACTGCTCCCCGGGCGCCGCAGCAAAAAATGGCTGCCCACTTCTCTGGGTGTGTGTTCACAGGATGGGATAAATGCAGAGTACTAATTCCGGTCACCATACTTGGCCACATGTCACATGTCACGTCACTTTATTTCCTTTGTTACAACATTCAGTGTTATGGAAAAGAACCATAATGACAGAAATTCACACATTTATAAACTGTAAGAAGTAAAAAGCTACAATTTGAGACCAGAAACGCATCACGTAACTGTAAGAGTAAATAATAATTATAATAATGATGATAATAATAATAACTATGCACCTGTTTGTAAGGAAGCTTGTAAATTAACTTATTTCTCTATCCAATGCTGTCACGTCACGTGACAAAAGAACGAATGATTCGAAAGACTCGAGAGATGAAAACTAATCAATTCTCTTTCCGGCTCAGACTGCATTGGGTTAAGTTTACGGGGCTGTCACGTGATGAACGAACAACTCAAACCCGAAGACTTGTCAGATAAGAGCTGAGGTGAGCTAATCATAGACTGAAGACCCAGGTAAACAATGAATTCATCTTTTCTGTTTCTTATAGCAGTTTTGTATTGTTTGTAGTGTGATCAACGTTTGCGTAAGTAGTAGACGTGTTAGGGAAGTAACGTAACATTTTAATTATATTTTGCTAAAATGAACGAAATGACTCGAAAAAAGATTCGTTAATTTTGCTGAACGAGACTCAAAGGTCGAAGTCGGTAAATTGATCCGAACTGCCCATCACTAGTTTATATAAGAGATCGCTCATTTCTCCGTCCTGTTCACGTGTGTTTTTTTTGGGAGGTTTCGCACTCGTTCAGAGGATGCGTAATAGCGCCCCGAGTGTATAACAGTGAAAACGCGAAAAGCCGTAAAAACTGTTTTTTGGCGGGGAAGCGTTTTCTTGTAAAAGACGAGATAACTCGTCAATGGCGGGGAAAGAGTTAATAATATTAATAGCAATTAATACTAAATTCTTTATTATTTAAATATATTAGTATTTATGTCTTTGTTGCTGAGGTGTTCCTGATGTGTGTTCTTAAACTTGCCACTAGACGGACATCATCTTCGGTCATGTTGTAGCGCGACAGCTTGTATAGCGGATGTGTGAAACTCCCCAGCAGGTGGCGCACTTCTTCAGCCACGTGACTCAAGGAGATCTTGGAGCTTCCAGGCGGCTGGTCATGACCCCTGCGGATTTTTCCACCCTGGACTCGTTTGGCGAGTTTGCGCAGGAAGAAGCAGGTGGGAAGGTGGGCGTAAAGCTCACCGAGCGTGTCCTCATGCTCCAGAAACTTCCTCACACACACTCCATTCTCCAGCAGGAGCCGCACGAACTCGGGTTTGTCGCCCACCAGAGCAGAAAACATGGCCGGATGCAGATCACACGACTGAGACAGGAAAGATATGGAAAAAACATCACCACAACTCAACTATAGCGTATTAATGACTTCTAAGCAGACTTCTAAACTTGAAAAAAACATGTTTAATACTCGAAATAAACACTAACTAAACTGAAATAAAATAATATTTTTAGAAAGTATATTTTATATCTATTTGCCAAAGCAACATTTCTCATTCTCATTTCATTTAAATACTAAAATACTCAAATTAAATAATCTAAAACTAAAAAAGAAAAAGAAAAATCCATAAAAACTATATAAACATGTTAATAATAATAATGAAAACACACAATAATATTATTAAATCGGTGACTAACACTAAAACAATAAAAAAAATGTTTTTCCCTTCAATGAAATAAACATTACCTGAAATAAAATAAAAACGTTTTTATATCTAGTTGCCAAGACAACATTTCTCATTTTCATTTAAAGTAAAAAAAAACTAAAACTTAAAAAAAAAAAAACTATATAGACATATTGTAAAAAACTAATAAAAATAACAAAAACACACAACAAAATTACAAAAACATGAACTAAAACTTGAAATTAAATGAACATTAAATGAAATAAAATAAAATATTATATTATTATTGCCATGGCAAAATTTCTATAAAATATAATTTTAATGATACTAAAATAGCACTGTTTCTAAGCTTGGATTATGGTTTGAAAAGAAGTTAAACCAGCATTTGCAGTGCACAAACTTGTGTATTTCAGCAAATGTAAATGAACATTATTTGGCTATTTTAACCCACCGTCCACTGGCTCTCCTCGGTGAAGATCTCGCTCTCGGCGATGTCCACTCGGTTCCAGGCCACGGCGAGCTCCAGCTGTCTCTCCCACGACTGTCGGCCCGCATGCTCATCGCTTCTGGAGGCTGAAGAGCAACGAGGCGCGTCTTTAGTTGAGGTTTAACAGTTCTTACCAGTTTGTAATGGAAAAAATGTCTCAAGTGTTTCCAGGTCAAGTTTAGGTCTGAAGTCAAGACACCAATCGTTGTTGGTAAAGGCTTTCTATAAGTTTTATAAACTGTGCTACATGACAGTGTTGCTATTGTTAACTAAAAGTATTAAACATAGTGTTTGGTAATTGAAATAAAGCTGAAATAAAATAGAAATATTAGATGAAAAATATAAACTTAAAAAAATTTGAAATTAGAAATGTTCCCTTGACAACTAAATTAAATAAATAATATATTTATTGACGACAAAGCCTGTCAAAAACATGTCCAGGTCATATTTCAAAGATAAGTAAATTACCAAAAAGAAGTAAATTAAATTATATTTTGTACAAAGAAAAGACCTACTATCGGATCTTTGATTTTTTTTTTGTTGCATTGTGATATATTTTCATGCCAATTAATAAGCCATTTTCTTATCATTATTAATTTAATACCATTGAATTAATTTTTGGTATAAAAAAATCTTAAAACTTAATTTAGATGAGAAACCAGGAAAAAAGACTTTTAAGACTTTGTTTGCATTGATGCATGAAACCTTCTAATTCTCAGCAGTGAGCGAGTCATTGTTAACGAAAACGATTCAAATCATTGACTGAAAGCTGAAAAAAAGAGTATATAAATATTAGATGAAAAACTTCAACTATAACTGAAATAAAATGTCTGAAAAAACGGACTTAAAAGTTTGAAGTACTACAATTACCAAAACTTAAATAAACAAATTAAAGAATATAAATATCTAAAAATATATTTTAAGAAATCTTAGAAATATTTAAAAATGATAAAAATTCCAAAAGTACAACAAAAAAAATCACTAAATTAAAATTAAAAAACTGAAAATATAAAAAAGCTCATTCACAATATTAATAAATACTCTAATAGTATGTAAATAATACTAAACACTGCTGCAGGACTTTAATTTAATTTATATATATATATATATACTGTATATGCCTATAGGGATTTCCTGGTTTATTACATCATACTCATCTTAAAGAAAATATAAGGCTATGAGGCTTTACTTCAATCAAAATATAATTTATATGTGGATTTCATACAAAAATAATTAGTTTAATCCTTTAAACTAACATCTTTTTTGTGCTGCATTGAAGAATTTTATTGGTCACAAGCATCTAATGCAAAGACAAGTCAACTGTGTTCATAAGCGACCGTGTGTGATAGTATTCAACTCTAAATAAAGCTACACAAATCTCCTTAGCATTTCAGAGATGTGTCATCCGTCACTATAGCTCAAGCACTAATAGCTTCCTCTATCCAGACTCTCCAGGGAGGATCAATGTGCTCAAGCCAGACCCCTTGTGTTAGGGGCATCAGGCATGTTCACTACACGGCATTTAGCTTGAGTCATTTTAAATAACATGAAGAATAATGTTGAAGGGGTTTTGGATCACTGTGAAGATAAAAGGTGAAGATTCAACCCGCTCACTGCTGCCATTAGTTACCCATCCATTACCAGTATAATCCAGTTACGTGCTGCCCGGAAAAACAAGTTCAAGACATCAGTTTCCAGATGAAGAAATGCAGAGACTCGAGCATGAGCCTTTGAAACGTGACATGGACTCGAACCTTTCAGCAGAGCCTGTAGAATGGCAACGTCAACATCGTAGTTTTTATCCTCGTCAATCCGAAACACAGTGAGCAAATGAGGCATTCGGATGATGTCCTGAATCTAAAGAAAGACAACAATAAATATAAATATTCATTGCTTATGATACATGTATATTATGAAACTTCTGAGAACACTCATATTTGATATAATATATACTACTTTTGCTTTTGTTTACATTACACACACACACACACACACACACACACACACACACACACACACACACACGCACACGCACACGCACACGCACACACACACACACACACACACACACACACAGGTTTGTTTTTATGGTTTATGGGGACTCTCCATAGGCGTAATGGTTTTTATACTGTACAAACTGTATTTTCTATCGCCCTACACTAACCCTACCCCTAAACCTACCCCTCACAGGAAACTTTCTGCATTTTTAGATTTTCAAAAAAACTCATTCTGAATTATTTATAAGCCTTTTGAATTACGGGGACACTGAAAATGTCCTCATAAATCACCTTCTCGTTGTAATACCTATGTCATACCCATGTTATTATACAAATCTGTGTCCTCATAAACCACATAAACATGCACACACACACACACACACACACACATATGCATATACATACACACACAAAATTAGATGTAATTGAAAACTAATATTTAATTTATTATATACAATTCTTCTACCATTAATTCTGCTTTATTTAAATCATATTTAATGAAATATTGATGTCATTTATATTTTATTTTACACAATATTTACTTAAAACTAGATAGTTTCATTCAGATTGATTCGTGAATTCTTTTAATATTCATTAAACGAATCGATTCATTGGTTCATGAATCAGACAACAATGTACACTATTGTTTAAAAGTTTAGGGTCAGTAATTCAATTAATACTTCTATTCAACAAGGATCCAATAAACTGATCAAAGGTGACAGTACAGACATTTATAACGTTACAAAATAATTCTGTTTCAAATAAATGCTCTTTTTAATTTTCTATTTATCAAAGAATCCTGAAAAATAAAATTGATCAGTTTCCACAAAAATATGAAGCGGCACAACTGTTTTCAACATTGATAATAATCAGAAATGTTTCTTGAGCAGCAAATCAGCATATTATACTGATTTCTGAAGATCATGTGACACTGAAGACTAGAGTAACGATGCTGGAAATTCACTACCAAATTCAGGGACTTCGGTAACACTTTACTTAAAGACTTTATGTACAATGCATTATAAAGGGTTATTAAAGGGTATAATGCATTATAATTATTCATAACGTGTGTTGTAATACATTATATCTTGTTGTAAATAATTATAATCGAATTTAAAATGCATAGTGTAACAATGACTGGTTAAGTGTTATAATGTATTAACTGTGTTTACAAGGCATTATAAGGTGCATCACAAGCCACAATTAATGTATTATAACTACTTATACATAAACGCTTTAAGTAAAGTGTTACCTAGACGTCTTTCATAATTTAAAAAATCACTCAAACTTTGTTATGGAGTTAGACACATTTCTCATATTTTGTCCACCAAATGAGTCTGAAACTGTTATGAAATGTATGTTTTTGTCTGTTACCTTCTTGGTCCACTCGATGACCTGCACCTCAGTGAAGCTTCTGTACTCTTGTCCAAAAAACCTCTTCATGAGCTGGTTGATGAGGACCAGGGTGACCTTTGACACGGGCAGAGCCGCCACCTGAGCGATGACGTCCGCCAGGCGTCCAGAGCCCTCCAGCACCACACACGGCGTGTGTTTCAGCATTGCATTGTAGATTGTCTGTGAATAAACATGTCAATTAAACCTAACGGAAAACATTTCACTGCGATCTATGAAGCTGATGACTAGGGGTGTGCGATATATGTCGTCTGCGATAATATCGTAATTGTTGTTTTAATGATGTGCGATTTGACATTATCGAGCATATTACAAAAACCAAACAAAACACACCTGAAGAGTACACGCATTCGTGACGTGATGAAGTCTAGTAGGTTAGACTAGTGCACGTGCATTTAGAGTGCATTCTTTCACTGCGTGATTCAGTCTATTAAAATGCATTTTGAATGAACACAAAATTCAAGATATGGGGGCAGAAAATTTATATATATATATATATATATA